CGTCGACTCTCCTGCTCCTCTGGTGCTGCCCGACCTGCTGTGTTCCCCCAGCTCCGCGCCGTACTGACTGGAAACAAAAGTGCTCACTGTAGCACGGCACATGTGACAATAATACATCAAATCAAGGGAGGAAACCCAAGTTATTAGTCCCCCCCACCTTCGGCTTGTCAGGTCTGATAAGCCAGAGACTTTTCAAAGTGTGAGCCAGTCACCCCGTGCCTCTTGCAAACCAGTGGAAGCATCTAGAGAAGGCTGACTGAAAAAGTCTGATCGGCGCAAGGACCATTTTGGTCAACTTTGTAAATGCATGGAGCAATGGTAGACCACTGAACTGCTCTTTCTCTGCCTTTCTCTCCATCCAAAACATTTTTTTCTTTTAGAAGCATATGACTGTCTTTTGTTTTATTCATCTGTGGCATGTGGGGGGTCGCTGGCTGGGTCAGCTTTTCTTGCCCCGTCCCTAGTTGCCCCCCTTGTGAAGGTGGGAGTGAGCTGCCTCCTTGAACCGCTGCAGTCCGTGCGCTGTGGGTTGACCCACAACGTCCCCTTAGGGAGGGAATTCCAGGGATTCTGACCCTGTGTGTAAGAATGGAAGAGTTTATGAGGAGATTAGCGTGCCAGCTGGTAGAGTTATACGCTGACAGTTCATCATGGTCTCCCTGCAGTGCACAGAAATTCGCATTAAGTGTTGCAACCTGGCCGATAAATTGGGAATTTCCGTGTTTTGTTTTGAAAGAAATACGTGTGGAAATGCACTGACGGACGAAGCGTTGGATGCAGGTGCTGTGACAAGATTTAAAAGACATTTGGATAAGTACATGGATAGGGAAAGGGTTCGGAGGGATACGAGCCAGGAGCAGGCAGAGGGGACTAGCTTAGTTTGGGATTATGGTCGACATGGGCTGGTGGGAACGAAGGGCCTGTTTCTGTGCTGTATGGCTGTATGATTCCATAAGTAGTGAGGCAAGACAGTAAGCTATGGTCTAAATTTTGCCATATACATCAGCTCATGTCATCAGGATCATGTTCTTGCTTATAGGTCTCTTGAAAAGTTTATTCGAGGTTCTGTATACTTTGATACGGTGCCACAGACCTATGCAGGCTCAGTGCTGACTGAAATTATAGTGCAGTTGGGAATATAGGGATACAGGAAAGTGAACGTGAGGAATGTGGGATCAGCCACGATCCTGTTGAATGGCAGAGCAGGCTGGAGGGGCCGAATGTCCCGCTCCTGTTCCTATTTCTGATGGACTTATGAAAGTGACAGCAAGAAAGGATGGGAGCAAAGACCTGGGGAGTTGGTGAAGGGTGGGGAGTGGGGACAATGGAGAAGGAAGGAGAGGGAGAATGAGAACTGAGCACACAATGCTGACACTACGGTGGGTTAGCGCCTCTGCCTCACGGCGCCAGGGACCCGGGTTCGATTCCACCCTCGGACGACTGTCTGTGTGGGGTTTCCACATTCTGTCTGTGTATGGGTTTGCTCCGGTTTCCTCCCACGCTCCAAAGATTCGAGTGGGTTACTAATGTGTCCAGGAACGTGCAGGTTAGATGCGCGGAAAGTGTGAGGATAGGAGCAGGGGAGTGTTGGGTCTGGGTGAGATGGTGTTTGGAATGGAAATTGACGCTTCCCACGTGTGTGGGATCTCTATGATTCCTGACTCTGTTACAGAGAGAGAGACTGAAGGTGAGGGACAGAGACTTGGGAGGGAAACTTGTGCAGGAAACACAGAAAGCTAGCACCCAGGGAATCAGGAAGGGTAAGGGAATGTTGGCCTCTATTTCAAGGGGAGTGGAGTATAAGACTGGGGAAGTCTTACTGTAATGGTACAAGGTGCTGGTGAGGCCTCATCTGGAGCAATTTTGGTTCCCCTTGTTTAAGGAAAGATATTATTTCATTGGAAGCGGTTCAGAGAAGGTTAACTGGGATGATCCTGGTTGTAGAGAAACTCACTGAAGTTTAGAAAAATGAGAGGTGATCCCATTGAGACATATCAGACTCTTAAGGGGCTTGACAGGGTAAACGCTGAGAGGGTGTTTCCCCTCATGGGAGGGTCTAGGATCAGGGGGCACAGGCTCAGAATAAAGGGGCACCAATTTCAGACTGAGATGGGGAGGAATTCCTTCTCTCAGATTCTTTGGAACTCCTTGCCACAGGGAGCTGTCGGGGGGACAGAGTCCCTGTGTATATTGAAGGCTGAGACAGATTCTGGATCAGTTGGGAATACAGGGCTACAGGGAAAGCACAGGAAAGGGAACGTGAGGGATGTGGGATTAGCCACGATCCTACGGAATGGGAGAGCAGGCTCGATGGGCTGAATGGCCCGCTCCAGCTCCTATTCCTGATGGACTTATGAAGGCGACAGCAAATAAGATGGGAACAAAGTCAGGGTTGGTGGGGGGGAGGCGGTGAGGAAACGGAGAAGGAGAGAGGGAGAATGAGAAGGAGAGAAAACCACCAGCAGAATCAGGCCATTCGGCCCGTCGATTCTGCTGCGCCCTTCGCTCGCGGCTGATCTCGTTCCCGAACCCCGTTGGAAAACCGGGAACGAGAGCAAAAATGAAAGTACGAGAGCTGAATGGGTGGGGGGAGGAGGAAAACGAGACAGAGCGGAA